CCTTCACAAGCAACGGGGAGTTTATTGCGTTAGAGTGCAGGACGTGCACAGGACTGTGCTCTGATGAAGGACGCTGGGACAGGAGTTCAGTCAAGTTGCTAATGGCAGTGATTTAGCTTAGGTGATTTATGGGGGCTGCTTGGACACCTCACCAGTCATTACGAAAAGGCTCTTCAGGTGACTTACCAACTGCAGTAAAGGCTTCTCAAATGCTCTGGCTGTTCATATCCCTTGTTAGTCTGTTTGTCATCTGTCTTTGTGTGCCGCTAGCACGCGACTGCCTTGAGACTTCTGAACATCTCTTCAGCTCTAGTCACGGTAAAAAATGAAAGCCTTGCCATTACTTACGGAAAAAGACCGCTAGGCCGTGTTCCGGGGCTGGTTGGGTTTTTTTTGGTCACTGAAACAGTGCTTAAAAAAAGAGGGGAGGGGACCAGTAGCTACAGGAAGTTGTATCATGTTCATCTGTGCATGCATATGGTAGAATGTATGTCCTTCACAGCACAATGAAACATGATTGTGCTTCATTCCAGTTGTATGGCACTTCCATTAATGATTTCTATTTAAGACGGCCATTAAATGTTAATTAGCTGGACTATGCCAATAAAGTTCTATTAGCTTCCCCCTATTAATTTAATATCATAGGCATTTAACAGATGTCTTAATTAGATGTTACATTGAAGGCTATGAGCAAAATTAAAATCAGATCATTGTCCTGAAAGAAAGTTTGTACTGCGACTTACATTTCATACCATTTGTTTGTTTTTTCCCTTCTGGACTCTCACAGGAAACCAAGGAATTTAATCTCAAAGAACTTTGAGAGGAATAATGTAGAAAAGGCAAGAAAATATCTTAAACTGAACAACTTTCATGCATCTTGTTCACATAGATATGTATTTACTGAAAAAGCTTGTAGTCTTTGGCACTTTCAAATGCTTTTGTCTGTACTGGGAACAGCTTTTCCAGCATTTCCTTCTCCTATCTTTCCATTGCTGTGAAATGACTCCTGTTTTTTTTTCCCCCCTATATAAAATATGCATCTTCCACTTTCCTCATTTCAAGGGCAGTACTTCACCTAATTGCCACGCAGGTTTATTTCTGTACCAGCTACTTTATTTCTTGACTTCAAAGGGAAGAGAGCACCAGTCCTTTCTTTTTGGAAAGCAGCATCACCTTCGCTGTTGACTGCAGCCGGTCCGAGGTGGCTCAGTGGTGAGCACCTCAGCGATGCTGAACCTGGTCTGTGTGGAGGGATCCCGTGGCTGGGAGATGCGGCGCTCTCAGCCCATCTCCAGCAGCAGGTCCTTTAAAAATGAGCTGTGGAGGCCGAGGAGCTGAGGGCTCACCAGCACAGCTGGCGTGTTCAGAGGATCAGGGAGGGATGGAGGCAGGCAGTGCCAGCTCTGGCGCCGCCACAGCAAAGGAACAGTTGTGGGACTTGCAGTGCCGTCTGATCCACTGTCCTGTGTGTGCTCTTGGCTAGAGCTGGTCTACTCCAGTGCTAGGCTTTGGTGCATCATACGTGTGAGACAACAGCTACCATCTCGCTAAGGGGGTCTCTCTGGTTAGCCATAGACATTTGAATGGTGGTGGGGAGAAACTCCTCTTCCTAAATACAGGTCTTTTGTTTGATCCTGAAACTAAATTCACAGATTAAATTGGAAACTTCTGAAGGCTAAACTTTTAGCACAAACATGTTAAGTGAGTTAAACGCAGGGGTGTTGCTTTCACCTGCCAAAAAGTCAGACTTGCCTCACTGATGCACATCGAAGAGAAGCAGGTGGAGACTGGGAGTGTGGAACCTGGGCAGCCAAAAAAAGGTGATCCCAGAATTTAATAGTAAAAACAGGATATTGGGGGGGCGGGGGGGAGGGAGAGGAGATAAAGGGGTCCTGAAGCAAACTGTGGGCAGGGCTTACAAGCCACTTGCACTGAAAGTTGAACAAGCTTCTGGGGTGCAGTAGGGGCATGCCTGTTACAACCACTGCTGCAGACTTCTCCAAAAGGCAAATGTTTAGAGAAAGCTTAAGTGATAGAAGCTTCTTCACCAGCAGTGCTGTATTAAGGGTTGGTGAGCTGAGAGAGGCTTGTAATGGGAAGCTACCTAACCTCTTGTGTTTCAGAGATGTAGCACTCACAAACGAGTGCTATAAACTAGATACTATCCAAGCTAACCTTTTTTTTTCTTTTCCATTTTGTATGCATCTAATATCTCTTTATATAGATAAGAGATTTTTTTTAATGTAGAACACAGACATCATGACTAAAGACGCACAAAAATAGGCTGTAGTAAAGCTAGATGAAGAGAGTTTAATATTCATAAAGCAATTTCTTTTACTAATTAGAAAGTACAAGATCAAGGGTCACTTCTATTTTTGAATTTCTTGCTGCAAGTCCTTTCCATTATTGTGTGACATGTTCACACACCTGATACCCAACACCCTGACACAGAATCAAATTTACCATTTGTTTATTAACAGAAGTGCAAGTACATACACTGGCTTGGCATCTTCAGCAGAATGGTTTAACTGTGCAGAGCTCATGTTAGCTTTTCAATGGGTGGCTAAAGACACACTAATTTTTCTTAACTTTAGTATCAAGAGGAAACAATTGATATCATGGCACACTTACTTACCAGTGTAGACACTTCTGATTTAACCTTAAAGTAGTATGTTACTAGTAAGTGCCTGGTAAGCAGACAGCTTATATAGCCCTTACAAACGTACATATTTTATTTTTAGTCTTCCTTTGTGGGGAAAAAAGGCAATCACAGGTTACAGCTTGTTGTATGCAGCTAGAACTTCATGATAAGACTTTGAAAGGCTTTGTGAAATCTGTAATTTTGCTTTTCAAGTTTCTTGCTATCAGTACGGAATTGCTCATAGGAAAGAACAGGACCTCTCTCCTTATTGCTTGTAAAACAGTGCCAATTTATTTGTCTGATCAGGGCAGTGGAAATACCAACTGCAGTGATCTTTCCTCCCAGCAAGAGTATCCCCAGCTCTTCCCAAGGCCTATCATTTTCCTCCCAACCCTGGTGCTCCCATTGCAAGTATACACACTTGCACTACCTGTGACTTTCTCTAGACTAATGTATAAACTGACCAAATTTGGAGCCTGCGCTGCAAGCTCCAGGAAACTTGCAATCACAAATTCATGAATAAATGTTTTTGAGTACAGTGCAAACTGATAGCCTTGCATGCATGAGCACCCTGGCTAGGCGTGGGAGCTGTCAGATAGGAGCAGGCTGTAGTACAGCATCACCCTCATTCTCACCTGCCTTTCCATGCCAGTGTAATTTTGAGGTTTTTAACAATTAAAACTAGCATTATTTTTTCTTCTTTATTTTGAAGGGGGACTGAACCATTATGACTTCATGCTATTTATAAGCTTCGAGTGAGGCATTTATTGATGTCTCCTGAAGTAAACACTTCAGTCTGTGACACCACCCCTAGAAAGCCCAGCAAGCAGTATAGGATTCCTTTACTGGGGGGGAATTGTACAGGCCAGACACATGGAGGGGATGCTTGTGGGGCAAGGGCAAATCCCTAGTTTATCCTTGAACATTAAAAAACACCGTTTCAGGAATATTTAAGAGCTGCAAGAATTGCAAGGCTGCCTTGGAGCAGCTTTGATGCCTGTATCCTTCATATTGCTATCTCTGCTTTATTTCTTGTACAGTAAGACTAATGATAAAATATACTTCTAAAAATGCATCTGCAGCTTCAAGATGTTCAGTTGAAGTGTATATGCTGCTAGATGAGTATCATTAGCAGAGCTCTGCTCCCTGAACAGCAGCCCTAACTGAGGGTCCAGCACAAGGCAGATAGTCTTTGCTTTTTTCCATCTCCTAGCTAGAGCTAGGTTAGCTGAAAACTACACAGCCCCTGCAGAGCCAACAAGGACTGGCAAAGACAAATGCTTGCAAGTATCAGCACTTCTGAATGCACATTAACAATAGTTCTTTAATATCAAATTTCTCCCAGGGTATAGTAAAGGTGGCTGGTAGCTAGCTCAGATAGGCAGCCAGCATTAACACCTCTACCCCTGGAAAGAGCTCATGTCAGATCAGAGAAAAGTCAGATGGCTACTGTCAGTCAGCTCTGCTGTATCTAGAAACCAGCTCTTTAGAGCTGAGTTGAACACCTAAATTCTCAACATGTTAAAGTGATCTTTTTTGAGAAGGGGTGAGGGGACCACATTCAAGTAGGCCAAGGTATCCATTTTCTATTTTGTTCTCTATTGCTTTTCTAATGATTTAATATTTGATTATTTAACTACTGAGCCCTTGTTTCCATGGTACTATTTATCACAACCCTGATACTTTGCTCTTGTGGTAATGTGCAATTAGTTTCCTATGATTTTTTTTTTTAAAAGGATTCATGAACAGGATTTAAGTGACTTTTGTTTTGGGATTCTGAGTAATCATAGGAGCTCAAAAGACAGCAGCATTTTCAGCTGTGAGTCCTAGCAGATTTAGGCACCTGTAGCTTTTAAGACAGATTTTCTGGTTTAGATGCAGGCATCCAGTTACCCAGCTTCCACCTATGTTATACCTTTGACATCTGTGCACTTAAGTTTTGCCTCCGCAACTTTTTCCTCCATTCAGAAAACAAGACTCACGAAATAGCACCAAGTTCCAGACTAAGATGAGAAGTGTAACTTGGTGTTATCAATCTTCACAAGTCAGATGCTGGAGCATGCCCTAGGCTTAACGGTGGAAAATTGAAAGTTTGCTTGAGCCTCTTAAAAATAAGACTCTTCATTTCACCATTAAAAGATACCTTTTGCAGTACAAAACCTTTGTTACTGGCTCAGTATACTTGGAAGAGGTCATTTTTCCCTGATGCCTTCAGAAACAGTCTTTCAGAATAGCATGTAAATAGTAGTTAAACTTCCTCAGTAAACTACACGTTTCAGTACTTTTTTTCTAAGGCAATTTAAAATTTCATTGTGAAAGCAAGACAAACAGCTGTAGCCAGTTTGTATGTTTATTCACTCATCTACATAGCTTAACATGATTAACTATGGGGAAGGAGATATTCAAGGTAAAGCTTATTAGCTGAAATAACTTACTTGCATATGCTTGCACTAGGCAAAGATGTTAATGTCAACCTGGGAACAGTGATCATAGAGAAGTAGTTTTTGTCACTTCGTCGCCTTACCAGCTTATAAAATACAGCCCAATTTACACAGAAGGGAACGATAAAGTCATAAGATGGAATTGATTTTCATTGTGTAAAAACCATTAATTGAGACAGAAGTCAGGAAATCCATAGTCAAGTAATCCGTACTAATCATAACAGTTTAATGATGATCAGAATGTTATATACATGTAACAAAGCAGATGCCACTACAAAGCAGTCTGACCGCTGCAGTTTAAGACAAAACAGGTTGTAGTCATTCTTCAGTATGAAGAAATGCTTTAGAAAACCTTCACACATTATCACTCATTTCATTTTCAATCTGCCAGAAAACCTGGTCTTTAAGCTGCAGGAAAGCAGCAGATATGTTTTAATAACACGTCTGAATTTCCATGAAATCATAGGTCAATAGTTCCTTTCAACTTGAACTTTTTTGCAGATCGCTCACTTGCTCTAAGCTGGAACTTGCTTCCATAGATGTAGGAAATAAATCCATCAATCTCCAAGCTGAATACATTGTTCAGTTTGGGAACAACTGAAAATGGAAGAGGAAAGAACTTAGAAGTGGACTAATGTTAAATGCCTGTTCCAACAAGATACTGTTGTGTACTGGGGGACATTACATATAGACCGGAGGTTTGCCACCTTTCAAGGTTTTTAAGTTTTGGCAAGAAAGAGAAAATAACCTGACACTTCAGGTTTTACATGGGAATTAAAGTTTGACCCTGAAAACAGGACTTGCAGTAAGTGCTGTGGAGAACATCTACTGCAAGTCAGATTAATCTAAACCACCTACATAATGTCAGGTTCATAGGAAATGAAGCTAACTGCTCAGCTCTACTGTTATATTTGGGCAAGATCTTGGGCTGTTATGTAGTCAGTAAAGACATGCAGTTCTGCCACTCTACTTGCATGTTAATGCAGAGAGCTAAAAATACTGATAATGTACTACACCATGTACGTTTGCTCACACATGTAAGATGTTTAAGAAATATTTCAGATTATTCAATATTCAAATAGTGGAAAACACTGACAAATTTGTCCTATACCTTTTAATTTGTCCTCTTTAGTGATAATTTTGAAGACGTGCTTCATTTCCTGTAGAATGATTCCTGTTATCCCAACATAAGAGGGGCACTTGGATTTTGTTACTGAAAAAACAAGAGTATGCACGTATTAGAATATTTTCGGATGGAAGGAGTTTGATTGGTGTTGTACAGTTGCCTCATTTTACAAGCTGGTTTGTAATACCTGGAATATCTAAATTTATTCTGAAAAAATACTATCACAGTAATCACTCATAAAACTCATAGCTAGTCTTTGTAACTAACAACGAGGTTTTTGGGAGCACTTGAAAAGTAGCGCTGGTAAGCGGAGGAAGAGTCAGTCACCATATGATCTCTACTTTATGAATCTAGCATTGATGATATTAAAAGGAATTTAAATACAATATAGGAGTGTCTACTGAACTTCAGAAAGTTTCTAAGAAAAATAGAATACCTGTAACAATAGCTCCATGGAGATCAGCTTTTAACAGTTTGCCCTGAATCATCTGTGGTTGCCTTGAATAGGGTGGGGGTCAGAGAAAGAAAAAAGCATATGAAAGGAAGGCTTACAAAACACGACCATTGAGATCATGGTCAAAGCTTACAGAAACAGAATGTATCCTTAGCAAATAACTATTATGTTTCAAGTAGTAACTCGGTAAACTTTGGAATACCTAGTAAGTCAAGAACACACAAATTTTAAAATATCTCAACTTACGCATCTGGTTTAAGTCCGTAACATAGGTCTCTGATATACTGTTTCCAGAGTTCATGCAGTGGTAGAAAGATTGCATATCTGCAATGAAATGACAGAAATATTACACAAAACTTTGTGGAAATCTACTGCCTGATGACAGAGTTAAGAAACACTCACACTTTATGATCTGCTCTCACAGTTTACCTGAGAGGCAAGCCACTCCATGCAACAGGTTTTGCACTATTAAAAAAGAAAAGTAACATCCACCCAAAAATACTGATGTATTTTACAAGATGCAGGTGCATCTTCTAAGGCTCAGAAACCTTTTAACTCTTATACAGCTATTTCCTTTTACAAGCAGTAAGCGCTTTAATCAATGTGAATTAGAGGAGCCTGATGCAAGGGCTTTTATTCAACATGCATTAATTACAGGAATCTGATGCAAAACTTCCATTTTCTATCTGGTCATGAGCATTCTAACTTTTAACACTGGAATCACAGATGACTTCATTTGGTACTGGCTTTGTGTTATACTCAGGTAGACAAAAGGAAAGAGACCCAGCAACAAACACAAGAAAAAGGAACGGTTCTCTCTTGGCAAAATGCCACAGACAAAACGTCAAACTATTATATTCTAAACGGTTACATCCATAGGCACTTGTCATTGCTTTCACACAGTTTTGATGTACTTTCCCGCTTTCACTACAGAAAGTCTGTAAGGTCATACCTTCGCTGTTCGGGTTCAATTTCAAAGAGCCGCAATTCTCGCCTTTGCTTGGCGGTAAAACCTTTTGTTTTCTTTCTCTTTCCATGCTCAAGAACTACAGCTTTCCGAGTTAACATGTCCTGGATAACTTCGTCTTTCATTTTCGGCATACTGCGCTTCAGGAAGGCGTTTACAAAAGCTTTGGCCTCTTTGGATCCTTGAGGCTAACGAGATAGTTGGAAAGAGTTAAGTTCAGTTAAGTTAGAAGCTTGCCCCTGGCTAGCAGTTACATCAGGTGGACAAAACCATCACGAGATTTGGAGAGCGACACCCGAGCGGACGGGACAAGGCTCTGCGTGCTGCGGCCTCCCGCCTCCGGCAGCGCCGGCCTTTTCTTGTAAGCGGGCCTACTTAATGTTACCTCTAGCGCTAACGCCTCTGATGCCTCTCGGGGCTCCAGAGGCCGCCTTCAATCTGAGAAGCGCCATCCAAACGCTGAAGCGGGGCCCAG